ATATATATATATATATATAAAAGAATAAAGAAGGAAGATAAGATAAAAGATTTTATTAAAAGATTGAGAAGATATCAATGTATATGTCAATGTATGTTTTAACACATAATAGGATCCAGCGATACGAAGAGCAGTAACTTCTACACCTGCTAGTAGAGGCCTTGAAGATTATAATCCTTTTGCCGAACAAGGCACTCAAGGAACTACACAAGTCAGAGGAGCAGTAAATCCACCAATCTATGGAGGAGTTGGTGCGACACAGCAACCTGCTACGCTTCAACCTACTAATCAAGAAGCACCTCCTCCTGCATATGCTCGTACTCCCCAACAAACAGTTAATGCAGCACTTGGAAATATGTCACCTCCATCAGATGTAAATTTATATTAAAATATTTATTTCAATATATTTCATGTACTTGTAGAGTATACATATAAAATGCCTCTTAAAAAAATCTGTTCTTTTAGCTGATTTTTGCATCGTTCATCTCTTTTTATTTTCATATTTTGATTTTTACTTTCTTCCTTTTTCTCCAATATGCAGAGAAAAGGAAGACCAAAGATAATAGAAATTATTCAAATGTTTTAGCAACGGGCAGAATCAGAATGGAAAGCGAGGGCAGAAGAAGAAATGAGAAATACCCCGTACTATCGTTAGTAGTTATATTACTATATACATTTAATATTATTGACATAATACTTTACAATTTTTAATACGTAAAACGGCTTTACGTATTTATTTCTTGGAATTTTTAGCAAGACGAAATAATTGGCCACCATTACCAGACAAGTGTTGTTTCCAACCATGCTTCTACCAAGATATTGATGTGGAAATTCATACAGATTTCCAAAAAACAGTGAGGCAATTGTATTACCTATGGATGTGTAAGTTTAATTGTATGCGAGATTGAGATCGCGCTGTCACGTTATTTTATCTTTTATGTCTACTAAACAATGAAGATAGAATGACAATAGCGTGCTTCTTAGAGGCCATTTTATATTTATTAATATTTATTTATGTATGGATAATACTATTTAATATTGTTTGTAGTTCATGGTTTTGTTCTGCTATTGAACGTAATTGGAGGATTTGTCTTGATGCTGTGTGGCCAGGGTTTCTCAGCCTTCGGTTTGGCTATCTTATATCTCATACTCTTCACCCCATTCTCCTTTATGTGCTGGTTTAGACCAGCATATAGAGCTTTTAAGTAAATTCACTTAACATTATTTGGGGTATTAAGAATCTGATGAAATACAGAAATTAGAAATAAATCTTGTTTTAATATTAATAATTGTTTCAGAAATGACAGCTCTTTCAATTTTATGGTTTTTTTCTTTGTCTTCTTCTTTCAATTAATTGTCACCGGCATCCAAGCTATAGGCATTCCTGGTGCTGGAACATGGTAATATATTTGTATTGTACTTAATTGTATGTACAATATGCAAGCATTTGTACATTAATACAAATATAAATATTTCTATTTTTCAGTGGCATAATTACAGCAATTAGTATGTTTGATGCAACGGCCAAAGGTGTTTTTGTTGGTCTTATTATGCTCTTTGTCGCTATTTGTTTTCTTCTTGCGGCAGGAGGTGATCTCTTACTGCTTACTAAGGTATAGTATATACACATAGATGAAAGAGTGAAGATTAAATGATATTGATCTCAATGAAATAAAAATGAGGCTATTTTTAGATCCATCGCATTTATCGTACCTCCGATGCGAGTGTTACGAAGGCGCAGCAAGAATTTGCTACAACATTTTTGCGAAACGAGCATGTGCAAAATGCTGCGAGTAATGTTGCGGCGAGTGCAGTTCGCTCGCAAATGGCTAACGCTAGCCAACCACGCTATTAAATAATTCTATCATTTATTTGTCCTACAAAAAACACTATGTTCTGGCTTTCATCATTCAGTAAGTGGATAGATCTCATTAGTTCCACTACTTATGGATTATACAAAACGATCATAGAATATTGCAAATTTTATTCTTATAATGAAATTCTGCAATAGACTTGAAAATTATACTTCATGATCAAATTTATTCTCTGATACGCTAATTATCATTATTAATACTGCAGTTAATACTGCAAATTATTTCGAAGTATTAACGGATATTCTAAAGAAATTTTTTGAAAATAGTATGTATTTTGTTTCCAAGTACAATATTTTTGTTGAAAGAAAATTATACTATACATATAACATTTTTATATTTAAGTTTGATGTATTAATTTGTATTGCCGTTTATTTATGAGATCTTCAAATTAGGTTATATGATATGAGTGAGCTCTTGATAATCATATCGATTATATCATGATTTAATTATATAATTATATAATTGCTTATATTTACTAGCTTTCATATTTTAGTGACACAGTCTCATAATATTGTGATCATATTATAAGTTATGAAAGTAATTAAATTTATTCAAAGTCCAAATAACTACAAGATTTGAACTGAACATAATTTGATTCATATTTGTTGAATGTTAACATAACGCTAATTTACTTATAAATATTCACTTACAAATATTCAATAATTTTCTTGTAACCTTGTTAAACCCTATACATTCCTGTTTTTACGCAATACGTTAAATCATTTTATTATGACTGTTGTTTTTTAAACAACTATTGTTCTTACTAAAACGAATACATATGTTAATGATAAAAAAGTTGGATTTTACTGAAAATTGTATAAATTTATAAAATAATTTTATAATTTTTCCAATCAAAAACATTAAAAAATGTTATTTGTTGAAACTGAAATATATTATGATTTTTATTTGTATTTCTTCACATATTATAATGATAATAAATATATATAAATATAACTGAAATTGTTAAAAATAATCTTTACAAAATTAATCACAATATCAAATATTTTCTATGTGAAATCATCGAATGTGATAAATGATTATCTTATAATGATTATTAAGTTTAATAGATATTTATCATGAAAATATTAAATTAAAAATAAATTGATTTTTAATTCTGATTATATTAGGTGTAGTAAAAAGAAATCCATTATTTTTCCATTCAATTTCATGCAAAAATAATGGATTTGTTTTTACTATAACTAATATAACATACATATTGACAAGTTTATATGTATGATTCCAATTCACGTAAATTAAACTTTTTGAGTAAGTCTTTTGCTGCAAGAAAACATTGTAATGTTAGTATCGCATAAAAAAATGCTAAAATATTTCTTATTCATTTCGTGAATTGTTTAATACAAATATACCTTTTAAACGATATGTTGCTACTGGATCTGTTGGAAATGGACAACCGGCATCAGAACTATTTACTAATGTGGTTCCAACCAATTCTGCTGCAGTCACAGCATCAATGACTTCTACTTTAGTTCGGTACATGAGTTTAGCGTGGCCCTCAGCTAATCTGAAAACATTAACTCCAATAATGTTATTATCGTAGATTGCGATAATTAAAATTAAGACAAACAACGTTCGAAAAAGAAATGTCTCATTATGATGACTAATTTAAATGATTGTTTTTTCGTTTTACCTGATAAGACTATCTAAGAGTCGCACTGTTGTTCTCTCAGGCCTTCTTTGTGGGTCTGATCTATGATGAAGATAAGTTGCACTGAGTATCTTCTGTGCCTCTTCGGTTAGTACTGGTTTTAACGTATGTACATGTGTGAAATATTCGCAAAGAGTCTCTTCTGACCACAAGCCCGTTAAATTTAAAGGACCCATAAATGTTTCAGAATATCTATAATATTTTATGTTTTGATGATTTGATTTTATTATGAATGATATTGATTGTATAAAAAAGCAAATGCGAATATTACGAATTATTTTCTTCATCTTCACAGGCTGCTTTCAAAATGTGACTCGACGCCAACTTATCCCATTCGGGATTTCTAGTATCTTTTAAAAGAAGAATCAGATCGAAGCGTGACAAAAGAGGATTTCCTAAGCAGGTCTTCCAATCATCGCCCGTAAAACATCCACCGTCCGGATTGATAGCTGCAATAACGGAACAGCGGCTGTTTAATGTGCTCACCATGCCGGCTTTGGCGATGGAGATTGTTTGCTGTTCCATTGCTTCGTGTACAGAGGTTCTATCATGCGAACTCATTGTCGTGAACTCATCCACACAACATACACCTCCGTCTGCAAGCACTAAAGCCCCTGCCTCTAAATGCCAACCATCCGAATCCTGTAATGAATCTCTCGCAATAAATTTTTTTTTCTATCTCTCTTTTTCACTCATTTAATAAATGATTTCTTAATTAAAAACGATGAATGAAAATAAAGCCTTTAATATATAGGTACTAACTCTGACAGCAGCTGCTGTAAGTCCAGCGGCAGTACTTCCAACGCCGGTTGTAAAGACAGATCGTGTAGTCAATCGAGAAGCAACACGAAGTAATTGCGATTTGCCGGTGCCAGGATCTCCAACTAGAAGAAGATGAGGCTCACCTCTTATACGCGTTCCCGTTTCATTAGTTTTTGTCACACCACCACACATAACAATAGCTAATGCTAATTTCGCGATATACATCCCATATAACTATAATATAATTAAAGAAAATGTGTTACATTAAAATGTTTTTGATGTTGATGTAAAATATTAAATGTATATTATTCTGTGTAATATTTAAGAATATTGAATATACTTGTGGACAAATAGAGGCGAGAATATTATCTCTGCCAGATAATGCATTATCTCTATAATGTTCCCAATATGCTGTAAATGTATCTTTTATTTCTGTTGTAGAAAATGTTGCTTCTGAGATTTTCCTGCGTATAGAAATGCTATTTGCCATCAGAAATGTCGTAGCTTCTGCGCGTTGACCAACTTTTAATTTACCCCATTTTCGTATAACTACTCCACTACAAATATTTTTATATTTGTAATTGCAGTTAATTGCTAAATCAAATTTTATTTTAATAATTATAATATTGGTATTTTTCTTACGTTATAACAATTATTAGATATATATTAATAAAATATAAAAATACATAATTTATGAACCTGACATCTACATTATCTCCAGGTCTACATTTGTCAACAAGATCATCTAATAATACTACTTCCAGACCCACTGAATAGTAATTCCTTGCATCTGTCTTACATTGGTCCTGTATATAACATTGTTCAAGTAAAGAATAATACATATTGTAATCAGAAAACTCTTTTACGTCCATACCCGAATCTTCATTTCTTGATAATCGGAACAATCCTCTTGTTCTAAAGACATTGAAGCAGTTCTCAAATTTTGAGAACGACATGCTTGACATTGTTTGATATTCCTAAATGTTTGTTTTTCCCATTCTAACTATAAGAAAAAAAGTTAAGATTAAGATTGTTATGTGTATATTAACTTTAAATTGTAATTTGCTGTTATTTCATATTGTATTTTTTTGCTAAACATAAAATTTACTTGCTTTGACTAGATTAATATGTTTGCATTTTCTACAGATAAAACGTTTTTTCATTTTCATAATTGTGGGCTGAGACATGCGTACTACAATTCCAGACGTCGAAACTAATTCACCAATTTGACCTACATCCATTTTTATTGGTACTGCAGTAATTCGAATATGAACCTGCATAAGAATATTCATATATATGTTAAAATGATTACTTCAAGTAATGTGTAATTTACATATAGTAACTAATAAAATAAGATTCGTACTCTGGTCTTTACTATTTGCTCATTCTCAGGTTTAAATAATTGTTCTTGAGCTTTTACTGCTGCCTCGTCACATAGTGGTAAATAATGTCTAGGATTGCGTAAGATTTTCTGTGCATTCTCTGCATCAGCTTCAAATAATGACACAAAACTAAAAAGATAAAATACAATACAATAAGAATGTTACTATAGAATTACTTATTCTTTGATACATTTAAGAAATTACACAACAATAATAAGATATATCTCTGCTAACCTAGCAAATGCTAAAATGACTTACTTTACGTATATTGAATAGAATAAATGGTCCTCTGTAGCATTTAAAATATCCTCCAAGTCTTTCGTATGGTATTTCAAAAGATAATCTTCAAGCATGTTGACAATTCACAATAAAGTATCACTAATATTTAATCTGAAGATATATCTCAAAATACAAGTAGCGTACGTGGTTATCTTCCCGCCAAACGAGGATAAAGTCAGATTCAGCTAGTTACTCTTCTCTCTCTCTCTTTCTCTCTCTATATCGAACAGCTGTAATTATCTGATTTTCTTTGTAATATTTTCTATTGGGAAAACTAGTAATACTGGTGCAATTGAGTGCAAATCGATTTACGTATTTTCAATGTTAAATGTTAATACATAATCAGGGTTGGAAAGTAATGCGTTATTTGTAACGCCGTTATTATTTTCGTTTTTCAGTAACGATCGTTTCTGTCTAAAACGGTAATGGTAACGTCGTTACATTTTTATAGTAACAATAACAAATTTAACTGTTACTTTTACTATTACTTCAGTTCCCTATTTTCTTATTTTATAATTTATTCTTAATTTCTTAAAAAGTATTTTATATTTAATATCTTATAGTATGTTCTAATAGACACTGTTAATGTTGAAAATATATAAT